CCTTTCCATCCCTTCCTTCCCATCCCTGGGCTCCACAGACCAACATCCCGCTCCCAGAGACCAAAATCCTTTCCCAGTGGCTTTGTTTTTCCCTCTCTCCACCCCTAGAAAGAACAATTCTGAAAGACTTGGTGGCACTTGCAGTGCCCCCAGGGCCAAATCCTGCCCTTTTCCAGTGCTGTGAGAATTCCAGGAGCATGCAATTCCAGAAGAATGTGATTTCATCCCTTGGTATCCAGAGGGGAAAAAAAAAGATGAGTAATCACAGAACAAGACTTTCAGCATCTGCTAAAACACCTCGTCAGCAATTCATCTATTTTTGGCTACCAACTATTATTATTGTTTAATTTAACAGTAAATTGTCACCAGTGAAAGGGGGGCTGGGAGAGAGTTGGAGGTTGGGGCTGGGAGTCACTTCTAATTCCAGAAGGAAGAGGAATTTCCACAAAAAAACCTTGGATTTCTGTCCAGATTGGAGGGTGCCCAGAGCTCTGACGCTTCTCTTCTCCCCACTGCAGCCTCATAGCTCGGCCCACACTCTCCTGCAAGGCTCATCCTTGGTTTGGAGCCAGGAAAAGGGATGCTAAGGAAAGCTGACCTTCCTGGAGAGTTGCTCCAACAGGTCCTCATCCTCTCTTCCAGCACTGGGATCGTCCGTGAGGAATAAAACTCCTCGTCTCTCCCATGGCAGCAGAGAAACGGGGGAGCCTTGGGGGGGTTATCCAAGCAGGACAGGAAAGCTGCTCTTTTCCATTTGAACTCCCATATCCAAAATTCCAAGCCAACAGGCTGGAGAACTTGCATCTGTCTTTAATTCTGCAACCCTGCACTGTTTTCCCCCCCCCGCTGAGGTATTCAGAACTGGGCTGACTCAGCTGGAAAAGCACGGGAAGGAGTGAGGTGAGATGTGTCCTGGACTCCAGCTCGTGGCTCCAGAGGGAGCCCAAGGAAACTGTCCCAAAGGTGCAGCAGATACTTCCCTACAGGCAGATCAGTGAGGGTTCAAGGGAAAATGATCCCTGTGGAAAGCTGGTGGTCAGGTATCCCA